TAATATTTAGCTTAAAATTTTTTAAAAATTTTCAAAAATTTAGAATTATATGTAATTTATTATACTGAACAAATTTTACATAATAATTACATATAGTTTACTTAATAAAAAAAATTTTTAATATATAGCAATTATGATAACTAATTTTATAAAATTATTAATTTTGTATAAGTGTAATATTACACAAAATTGTGTAACTTTAACTTTAAAAAAAACTGCTACATAGAAATTTGCAAACTTTTTTTTCTTTAAAAGATATAGTTTTAAAGAATTTAATATTTAGTTTTTAATATCTTATGTATTTAGCTCTGTACAACTTTTTAAAAAGTGTCCGTAATAATATAATAGGGTACTGTAGTATATATTGTATTATAAATTAAGATTTATATTACATCTGGCTATGATTTTTTCTACAACTACCAATCCAAATTGGATGAAATTTTTACTGAAGATAGGAGTGATAGTTGGCTACAACATATTAAAATTTCATTCAGTTTGGATAAGTAGATCATAAGAAATTACTTAAAAACTATATATAATTATATTAAAAAAATTACTTATAACTTTTAAGCAATTTCTCAAGAACTACTAATCCAAATTGGCTGAAATTTTAATATGTTGTAGCCCAATATTACTTCTATTTTCAGTAAAAATTTCATCCAATTTGGCTTGGTAGTTGTGAAGAAAATCATAGCCAGAGATTAATAAAAAATATGATTTTATATTTTTAATTATTATTATTAAAAAATTTTATATAGTTTTTTGGGCAATTTTGATTGGCTAATAATACTATATTATATAGCATCTGATAACCCCTTTGACCCCCTCCTCCCTAAAATATCAGGTGATAAATACCTATACCCTTACAGGTTTATGCTTTTACTGTTTTATTATTTCTAGATTTTATGGCTTTTATTACAAAAATTGCGAAATTTCAAAGCATATAGAAATACTTCAAATAAGATGAGTTTTATTTTTGGTTTATTCTAATTGTAACTTTTATGCTTTTTATTTATGAGTAAACAAACTTCTTTATAATTGCAGATAATGTAAAATTTATATATATTTACAAACTAAGAGAATGCTTCAGATTATAAATTTTTAATTTTTTCTTTGTTTTAAATTTTATTTTATTTTTATTTTTAAAAATTAATATTATCATACTGATACAAGTTATATTTTTTTATATTTTATATTTTTTGACTAAACTATATATTTTGAATTTTTTATTGTAATATAGTATTCATGGAGTTGATCCTTGCCATATCAGATTACACCTTCTTTTATTTTGTGTTGTTTTAATATCATTCAAAATTGTGAACAACCTATTTATATTATTGGTTATATAGATAATGTGGTTAAAATTATTTGCAGCAAGTTCTTGCTTGAGGTAATCCGCTATATGTCTTATAGCTTCAACTTTTTGTTTACAGGACTGGCAAATTTCTGGATCAAATACTTCTTCGTTTTTACCTATTTTGACCACGTTATCTCCTGATATTGGACTAGATACTTCATCTTCTTTATCCACTTCATTTATGTTGTTACCAGATTTAACCTAGAAAACTATTGATTCCTGGGTATTAATCTCTGTTAATATGTATTTATTAGTGTTCCAAACTAGAAAAGGATAATCTTCTCTCTATTGGAAGTTTTGATACAAAAGTTGGATATCTTGTAGATTTTGTAGTTTTGCCATTACTGTTGCATGGTTGACTAGATACTTACAAATAAGAAAGCAAAAATTAAAAAATGATAAGCAGCTGCAAATCCAACATGCTGAATCAATAAAATAATAGGTATGATTATTATCATTAATTGGTGTTGCAGCAAGCTGATTCTAATCTATCCTGAAATCTTCGAACCAAGATGGTGTTATGTGTTCATGGTATACTTGACAAAGATGAATTAGTTGGTCAAGAAAGAGGTGTATACAAATAATCCACACAACATAATTAAGTTGTGGCCTGTTGAAGTAGTAAAGATAACAACACTTTACAACTTTCTAATATGACTTTATTAACATATTTGTCTTGCTAATTGGAATTGTTGTTTGTGATAACCAAGCCCACAGTGTCCACCTTGTGGTCTTATACCATTCAGACTACAAGTATGCTTAAAAAAGCACAAGGTCATTGCTAAAGCAGAAATTATACATAAACTGTGCCAATACAGATTTTGTTAGCTGTTAAAAACATCCCAGCAGTATTAACTGGTATTTTTTGTGCATATTGAAATATTTTTTAATAAGGTTAACAACTTCATCTTGTAGTTCTACTAGACATATAATATAGTACTCAGGGTCTGTATAATTTAAATTAGGCTTAAAGGTGGGATTGATAAAACTAAATTCTTCAACTGCTTCATTTGGTTGATACTGAGTTTGTTTTATTTTTTTGCAGCTTCTAATTTTTTCTTTTATTACCTTCTCAATGTGCTACAGACAAAGTTGTATATTAATATTTCTTTGTAGTGTTGATCTAAGTGAAGTTTTTGTCTGTGAAGAAGTGTTGTAGCTACAATTCTTTATTGCAAAGAAAGCGAAGAAAACTTGTAAGTGCCTTTGTCATTAGATATGCAACTGGAAATCTTGCACCATGCATGCTACTAATTATTCCATAAAGTTCAAACCACCTTTTGGTTGTTTTGTATATTGCATCACAATGAATGCTTGACACAAATAAGAGTTCAGTTAATAATAGAGTTATAAATCCAATTGCTGTAACTAATTCATTATTCTACTTATAACAAACTCACTCTTATTGTTAAGGTTATCCAAAAATCGATGTGTAGAAATAAATAGATCTTCATCTAGCTTGAAGAATTGCTGATTAAAAGTAGACCACCAATAATTGATCTGTTTTGAAGTAATCTATAAAGCATTATATCTTTGACGAATATGTGTTCTTAGCTGCACTGAATCCATGTGAAGGTTATGCATAATTTCTTGTTTTATTTCTTCTGAAGTTGTAACATCTTTAGGCTTTTTATACTAAATATCATGATTAAGCTTTATCTTTGCTTCTTTTGCTGCTATATCTACACTAATAATTAGCTTGCTATAACAATTAAAGCAGTCTATTCTTTTACAATTCGATTCTTTATACTTATATTCTAACTCACGGCACTAAGAGCACGCAAGGTAGAATTTACTTACTCCAGAATGATGCACTGAGTCAGTTGTAAATCTATAAATACAAAAAAAATAATTTTTAAAAAAAAAAACTACAACACTACAGTATTTGTAATTAGAAGTATATATGGGTGTCTAAATTACTTTTCTTAATAAAAAATTATTTTGATATTTAGTCTGTTGAAATTAATTTTTCTTAATGGTGAAATTAAATTTCATAGTTGTCAAAATTTTTAGTGAAATTATTTGAATTCTTTATGTTAAAATACGTTAGGTAGTAT